CAAGGCTGGAACCATGGCGGTGACCAAGGAACTATTACATATGGACTTGTACGCGTTGCTGGGCATTGAGGAGAAGGCGGCAGACAAAGAGGTGAGAATGGTGGCGAGGAAGGCTGATTCTGAGCGACCTGGCAGCCTTTACTGTCCTGGTTCCTTGGCTGGGGCCGGCACCTTCTCTTCAGGTTCGACCGGGCCCTGGGCGGAGAAGGAAGGGAGGCCCGGCGGCCTCAGAATGTAGGCTCCCACACCTTCCTGAACAATTTGAGGGCCTCACAAGTAAGGGGAGTTCTGGGGGCTGTTTAGGAGAGCCCCTGTGTGGGAGAGTCCTGGATGAATCTGTGAGCGAAGCCGACCTCCTCTCTGCGCCTGCGCAGCCTCCGCCTTGGATTCGGCTTCCGTCTTGTGCTGTCTTTCATTTCAGTGTTACCATTCTCAGCAAGTGATAGTGGCCCCTAAGCAAGAGAATCGGAAGGGTAAGGCAAGTGGCCCAGAGTTCCACCTACCTAGGCGTACATCAACGTGAGGGGTCGCAGGGAACGGGTTCGGTGATGCTCACCTATCTTCCCACCGACTCAGACGGTCGAGGCAGGAAGGACGGTTCGAGGCCAGCCTCAGCTATTTAGTGAGACCCTGTCTCAGAATAAAAAAAATAAAAGAGGCTGAATGTGTAGCTCAGTGGTAAAGCACCCTTGGGTTCAATCCTCAGTACATTAAAAAGAAGAAAAAAAAAAAAAACGATGGTAGATGGTGAGACACTGATCAGTCTGGACAATGGTTTCTGCTATTTCCCCTAGGATCACGGTAGTAGTTGTAATAATATAGATAGAAAAGGCTGATAATTCATGGGATGAATATTATGCCCACCAATGTCCCTGTACTTCTGAGCTGCTCTGCTGAAGGTCTGAGTGAGCTTTCTAGAAGAGGGAGCTTTGGGGCAGAAAAATCGGGGAGACCCAGAAGGTTTTGAGAAGAGATACTATCAACTTATACAGAATTTCCCCTGCAGCTGAAATCAAAAGTGACCACAGGGACATCTACAAAGCACCAAAAATATTTACTATATCTCTCTCATAAGTCTAATAATTCTGTATTAATAATGCCGGGCGTGGTTTTGCAGGCCTGTAATCCCAGCAGTTTGGAAGGCTGAGGCAGGAGAATCGCCAAGTTCAAAGCCAGCCTCAGCAACTGAGTGAGGCCCTGTCTTAAAATAAAAAAAATGTGGGCTGGAATTGTGGGTCAGTGGTAGAGCGCTTGCCTAGCATGTGTGAGACACTGGGTTCAATTCTCAACACCCCATATAAATAAACAAAATAAAGTCCATTGACAATTTAAAAAGAATTTAATTTTTTTAAAGGATTGGGGATATGACTCAGTGGTTAAGTGCCCCTGGGTTCAATCCCTAGTACCAAGCAGTTAATCAATCAGTCAATAAAAAAGATTAAAGATAAACCATGAAAAGTAGGTGGCACACACTTAGAAAAGTCTTACCAATTATTTTCTTTCATAGCAGCCAGTTCTCCTTTCCAGTACATATTTCCCTTTGCACTTTGGATACATTGGCTAACTTCATGCTAATGGACATTTTTTGGTAGAAAGCAAGGGAGTCCTAGGCACTGGTGTTCTCTTCTCTTGGTTTAATACCCATCATGTTCTCTAGGGGAACTTGGGAGAACCAAAGGATATTTAAAATATATATATATGAGGAAACCTTCCTAAAGTTGGTTCTTTGACCATTCAGCCTAGAAGGTGTCCCTTCCACCCCTGCCCCAGGACTGGAGATTGAACCCAGGGACATTCTACCACTGAGCTATATTCCCAACCATTCTGTTTTATTACTTATAATTTAAATTTTATTTATGTTTTTGGTATTGTGGATTGAACCTGGGGATGATTTACCACTGAGTTACATCCCAGCCCTTTTAATTTTTTTTTCTTTTAATTTTGAGACCAGATCTTGTGAAGTTGCTTAGGGCCTTACTGAGTTGTTGAGGCTGGCCTCGAACTTGCAGTCCTTCTGCTTCAGTCTCCTGAGTTGGCTGGGGTTATAGGTGTGTGGCACTGGGCCCAGTTTTTTTTTTTTTTTTTTTTAATATTTTCAGTTGTAGATGGATACAATACCTTTATTTATTTATTTATTTATTTTTAATGTGATGCTCAAGATTGAACCCAGTGCCTCATACATGCTAGGCAAGCACGCTATCACTTAGTCACAATGCCAGCCCTCTTCCCCAGCTTTTTTGAAAAAATTCCATATGTAAGTGAGATCATGCAGTATTTTCTTTTCAGTGTCTGGCTTACATCACTTAGCATAATATCCATGTCATCTTAAGTGACAGAATTTTCATTCTAAGGTTCAATAATATTCCATTATGTGTACATATATATGTATATATTTTTAAAAAATTATTAGAGGGGCTGGGGTTGTGGCTCAGTGGTAGAGTGCTTGCCTAGCATGTGTGAGACACTGGGTTCGATTCCTAGCACCACATACAAATAAATAAAGGTCTATCAAAAACTAAAAAAAAATATTTAAAAAATTATTAGAGCTTTATAGTTATACATAGTAGTTGGGTTCATCCTAACCAACTTATATATGCGTGGAATTTGATTTCAGTTCATGATCCCCTACTTTTCCTCCTCTTTTCCCTCCCCTCCTTGTTTTCCTGCCTCTATTAGACTTCCTTTTACTTGTCTATTTATTTATATTTGATTGGTTCTTTTTACTTATATAGAAAGTTGAAATTTTCTGTGGTATATTTATATATGCACATAATGTGTTTTTTTAAGAATTCATTCTGTTTTGCCTCCCCTTTCCCATCCTTCCACTCTGCCTCTTGATCTTCCCTTTATGATATTCTGCCCTTCTCTCTTAGCTTATTTCATTTAGTATATTATTCTCCATTTCCATTCATTTACTGGCAAATGCCATAATTTCATTCCTCTTTATGGCTGCATAGAACTCCCTTGGGTGGGTGTGTGTGTGTGTGTGTGTGTGTGTGTGTGTGTGTTTATATATATATATAAACACAATTTCTTTATCCATTCATCTGTCAACGGACACTTTGGTTGGTTCTATGTCTTCACTGTTGTTAGTAATGCTGCAACGAACAAGCTAGGAACCTGAATCATGAGCCATTCTTTTTTTTTTTTTTTTTT